CCTACTTAGAAGGGGGAACAAAATAATCATGGGAGGTAGAGGGAGGGAGGAACCTGGGAGGGAGAGAGGAGGAGGAGGGTAGAGAGGGACAGGATCAGGTGTGTGAGGAGACACGGGAGAAGTACTGTGGGTCAAGAAACTGAATGGAAGTGTGTAGTAGTGGGGGATGAGGAACTGAAGGTAGCCACTGAAAGTCCCAAATGTCAGGGAAGCAAGAAGTTCCCAGGACCCAGCAGGGATGACATTAGCTGAAATACCCAACAACAGGGAGAGAGAATCTGTAGAGACTATATCCAGTGGATAGGCACTGCCCCTGGTTGAGGGATGGGGCTGCCCACACATCTCAAAAATTTTAACCCAGAATTGTTCCTGTCTAAAGGAAATGTGGGGACAAAGAGTGGAGCAGAGACTGAAGGAAAGGTCATTCAGAGACAACCCCACCTGGGGATCCATCCCATCTGCAGACACCAATCCCAGACACTATTGCTGATGCCAAGAAGTGCATGCTGACAGGAGCCTGGTATAGCTGTCTCCTGAGAGGCTCTGCCAGATTCTGACCAATACAGATGTAGATGCACACAGCTAACCATTGGACTGAGCACAGGGACCCCAATGGAAGAGTTAGGGGAAGAACTGAAGGAGCTGAAGAACATATATTCATTGAGAGGTTGCTATTCAAGCACGTGAACAATTTAAATGATTCAACAGCTAGGAACTTCCTGGTTTGGGACTGTATTTTATAACGTAATATACAATGTAATAATATTATCATGAGAACCTGGACATAAGCAAGAAAGAAAAGGTTATGGTTTAATACGGAGGCGTCTGCACAGCAAGTTGACAAAGGATCCATTTTCTGTCCACTTGATACAACATAGAGTTGTGTGGGAAACTCCAATTGAGAAGATGCCTCTATCCTGTTGGCAAGTCTGTGGGATGTTTTCTTGATTAATGATTGATGTGGGAGGCCCAGCTCGCTGTAGGAAGTGCCACCCTTGGGCAACTGAACCTTGGCTATAGAAAAAGACAAGCTGAGAAAGCCAAGGAGAGCAAGCCAGTAAGCAGCATTCCTCCATGGTCTCTGCCTCAGTTCCTACTTCCCTTGGGTTTCTGTACTGTCTTCCCTTAGTGATAAAGTATAAACCAAGACACGTAAGCCATATAAACCTTTTGTTCCCCCTCCCTCAACAAAAGTTAAACAGAAAATATCTGATTATGTATATTTCCAAGAAAGAGATATGAATAGTCAGTAAATCTATGGAGAAAGTATCCTTTGGCACTGACGGCTGTGGACATGCAAAGTAAAATACCAGCCTCTGCTCATCTTTGTAGTGACTGCTGCCAAAATGATGAGCCAAACATTGGTAAGGATATGGAAAACAGAGCAACCCTGTGTGTGGCACCGACAAAGATGCAAACTGCTACGCCTGGTTTGGAAAACATTATACAGGGTTCTCCAAAGGTCAATGCCACATAAAGTCAAATGTGGAGGCACATCCTCTTAATCCCAGCACTTGGGTGACAGAAACATAAATCTTCATGAGTTCAAGGCCAGCCTGGGTTGCAGAGTGAGACTCTGTTTCAAAAAACAGAATAAAAGCACCCACTGTTCACATACTCAAAAAAAAAAAAAAGTTAAACGTTGAGCTACCATGAAGCCCACTAATCCCAGCTTTCTGTGTGTGTGGCAGTCGTGGTGAAGAACTGGATACATGTGTATTTAGTATAGCAGGAGGCACGGGATCAAGGTAAGTGTCTGTCAGTATAAGCGAAGACAAAGGTGTGTGGCATTTAAAATGAAAGACATCTGTAAAACGAATCATTTCGATAAAAGTGTAATCAGTGAATTAATCCGGCGGCTGTAGTTCTTTACTTTTGCTCGTCCCCAATAACCACACAGAGAAATCAAGATTTATTTCAAGCTGTGCAGACCTCAATATCTCAGCAGTTGAATGACCTACCTTAACCCCGTATGCTAATCTGGCTGCCTCCCAGCCCCAGCCCCAGCCCCAGCCCCAGGATCCTTTAATATTACTCTAGCTTCCTCTGCTTCAGATGTTTCTTCCATGGTGTCTCCTCAGACCTTCTCCTCATGGCCGGTTTGAATCTTCTTCACTTTCTCTCTCCTCCCCTGGCTGGTGAAAGTTTCCACCCTGTTCTCTCTTCTGCTCATTGACAAGGCAGAGGATGATGAGTAAGAATTGTTTACATAAACTTGAGACAGAATATTCTTGACCTAAGCATTACAACACTGTGTCCGGATTGAAACAAGATGTGAGGACAGAGAAATCAGCACTGGATAACACAAGGATAATCCTCACTCAGTGCAAAACCATTTTTCCTACAACTATCCAAACACGGACAGATTGTAGGTCAGAGGTTTTGTGGCTAGGTTGGTGTATACGTTTCTCTTTTGGTAGCCTGCAGAGTGCCTTCCCACACCAAAGACACTGGAACATACAGGTGAAGACTCCTCGGAGGCATCTGCCTGACTTCTCCATGTTTAATGAGTCATGTGGGTATCGTCTTCAGCAATGTTTACAGAGAACAACCCATTGTCTTAGCAACCCAGGGGTTGTTTGAGGATTTCTATGGGACTCCCTTGGCCAACAACTTAATTGAATGAAATACATTCCCTGTACTGAAAGCCTCATCCATCTGGTGACAAGAGATGGCCAGTTGTGACTCCATGACTGCCATTATTAGGAGACTTCATTAGGATGGCCTTCATAGATTTTAGGAAGTTTCCACTGCACTGAGTTTCCATATCATCCCTTAAATGCCCCCCAATTCTAGCTGCTTCTCCCCAAATCTCCTCCCTCAACCCTATCTCTTCTCCCATTCCCTACCTAATCTGTAAAATTATAAAATCTATTCTATTTCCCCCTCTCAGGGAGAGCCATGTCCCCCTCCCAGTCCCTTCCTCTCTACCTAACCTCTCTGGGTGTATAAGTTGTAGGTTGGTTATCATTTATTTAATGGCTAACATCCACATATAATAAAATACACACCGTATTTATCTTCCTGGGTCTGGGTTACCTCACTCAGGGTGATTCATTTTTATTCTATCATTTCTGATTTCCTGGAGAACAGTGACAATGGGTATGTTTATTATCTTAAGCTAATTATTCCATATTGTGTACATATATTAAAACGCCACACCATCTCTATCAACATGAGCAATTATAACCTGTCAATTTAAAAATAGAAATATCATATTGTATTCCATAAATATACACAATTATAATTTGTCAATTTTAAAAGAGCAGATGCAAATCAAGCAATTAATTATGGGGGTGGAACAAAAAACAAATGGCTGCTAGAGATTACCATTCACGTCAGTAAATGTCAAAACTTCATTGTTTAGGGATTTTTTTACACAGCTTGTTTCATTATGTCTGTTATTTCTGATTGTTGACTAGAATGCTCTAGAATTCTATACAGGCTGTATGCTCAGCAACTTTGATGAACCTTGACTTACTAATATTATTGTTATAAAATTGCCATATAAAATGATAGCATTTAAGACAGGTGTGGTGGCATGAACACACCCATAATCCCAGCACTTAGGAGGTAGAGGCAGGAGCATAAAAAGTTTGAGGACAGCCTCAGTTACACTAGACTTTGACACACACACACACACACACACAATTAAAAATAGAAATAAAACACGACCATTTTGTAGCTTCCTTCCCTATCTTATATGTTCTGTTAGTGTAGCATCCTGTGTTGCTTTAGACATCTTGCCAGTTGCGGGAAAAGCTTCTTTCCCTATCTTACATACTCCATTGGTGTAGCATCCTGTGTTGCTTTTGATATCTTGTACATTGCTGGAGAACAGGGTTTCCTTTACTGTTTCCGACCTCAGTGAGAAGTCTATTTATTATATGTTTTGAAAACACAGTTTCAGGTGCATTTCTCTGCATGTTCATTTCTACTCTTAATCTTTTTTATTTTTTTATTTTTTTTAGATTTGTATTTATGTGTGAATTTTATGTAAAACGAGTGCTCTATCCACATGTACACCTGCATGACAGAAGAGGGCACCATGTCTCATTATAGATGGCTGTGAGCCACCGTGTGGTTGCTGGGAATTGAACTGGAAGAGCAGCCAGTGCTCTAACCACTCAGCCATTCCTCCAGCCCTCTAGTTTTAATTTTAATAAAGCAGTCACACTCACAACAAACTGTTTGAGAGACTCCAAAACTCCAGTGAGTTCTCATGTTTCAGCTTCTACTTGCTCCCCAGAGCCATCCTCAGAGCACACACTGACTCAAACCTGTCTTCTCTTCTGCAGTCTACGTTTAGCAGAACTATGAAGTGAGGACGGGTACTGGGGAGAAGGGTTAGTGAACACGGCGTTCACTGCACAAGAAGAACTCAGTTCAAATCCCCAGAACCCACATAAAAAGCCAGGGGTGGGTGCATTTTCCTATAACTCCAGTAATTGGAGGAAGAAGACGGGCAGATCTGAGCACCTGCCTGTCAGCCAGCTTAGCCTGACTCGTGGGCTTTTGGTTCACTACAGAGGTCATGACTCAAGATAATAACCAGAAAGTGACAAAGGAAAACACCTGGTGCCCTTCAAATGCACACACAAGTGAGCATACTGCACACATGTGCACACACACATACCACACATTTTCTTAACACCGGGTAGAAATAAGTGGCTGTGGTGTGTGAATGCGCTCTGGTAAAGCACAGCTGTATAAGACACATGCTTTGCACCACTCTGCAACCTCTGATGCCCTACGCATTGTAAGAAAGTGGCTCCTGTTACCACTTTGCAGCTAAAAGCACGATAGTTAGAAGGTAGAGTAACTTTTCCAAATGCCATAAAGTCAGTACTGTTAAATTCATACTGTAAATTTAAGACCGCCCAAGCCTGGAATCCTCATCCTTCTCCTCCATGAATGTGAGAAGGAGGCCTCGTGCCCAGTCCTTCCCTTACTGAGTCCTGCCACACACCCCATCCCCTCAGTGAATCAGAGTCAGGGTGTGCATAGAGAAATAAAAGTATTTATTTATTTGATCTCCAACAGCATTTCCTTAAAGCTTGGTGAATGCTGAACATGGGCCAGAAGGCAATATTAGTGGAAGAAGTAAACCTTATCCACAGGATCCAAGCCTGGGAGCCCAGGAGCCACGGAACCCGGAGCTGGGAAGCCTGAGAGCAAAGAAGTAGTTTCCAGACCACACAGAGTCCAGAGCTGTCTCCAAATGTCAGGAATCAGGCTACAAGAGAAAAATAAGATAAGACCTTCAACATAGGAACCAGCTAGGTCATTTCCATCCAGTCCTTATAAAGGAGAGTGTTGAGAAAGTCAAACAGTAAAGTGGGGCTGTACTTGAGAGGATTTGGGGTTTCAGGAGAATCGGTTCAAGTCTCGTTGTCATTGTAAAACTCAAAACTCAGAGTATTGAACAAGACATTCCTCAAATTCTAACCTATCCTTTGTGCTCTGACCAGAGAGTCACCATGAAGTAAATAACCTGGGTAACAGATAACATCTACAGTGCCTTGCAAAACATTTCAACTTCACTATTTCCATTCTGCAGACAAGGAGACTCAGAGAGTCATTCACCCACGGCCCTTACCCAGACAGGCTACAGTTGAATCAAAGCCTCGGGTAAATCTAAGCTTTGTCCTAAGAAATAGGGGACAGTTTACTTAAAGGACAAACAGACAGGGCCTCTTGGTTAGAGTAGAATCTCCTGGTACATAAGCCTTGAGCTCCAGAACCTTGACGCATAGAAGAGCTGGAGAGAAATGACCTCTCCCTCCCCAGCCCACTCCTTACCTTACAATGGGGGAAGGCAGACTTTGCCACACATGCCCTCACAACACTTGTATTTGCCTTCACACTGGCCGTCCCTCTGGCAGTGATTGGGAGGGTTAAGCATCAGACATTTTCCTTGAAATTTGAGGCATCTCCCAGGCTTCCTCATCACTGGTGAGAAAAGAGTCACAGGGTCCATGTCTTAAACTCCAAGCACCACATCTACGCTTCTTTAACCCAATGCTGCCCGTCCACCCCTCACCTCCATCACCTCCTCCCAGACATGTCCCCTGAAAGAGCACCTGTAACCTCTCTGCCATCTAGCCAGTGCAGGGACCAGCTGTCCAGCCCTGACCAGATTGAATGGTTTCCATCAAGCTACAGAATGCCTAATGCCTTTATAAGGTGGTTTCTTACAAAGCCATCATCCCCACAGAGTGTCGACTTCAGACAAGTGGCTCTTCCTGCCAATGGCAATAGGAGGCATTGGCTAACTGACATGTTGGACCCAACAGCTCTTAGAAACAAGGACGCCTCGAAGGACCCCTTCATTCAATCAGTCCCCTTCAGTGCTGGCTCTTGACATTCATTTTCCTGTCTCTAGTTTCTCTACTGGCTCACCTGGTTTGCGAATGGGAACAGGATTCACGCACTTGGCACCACAAGAATCTGGGCAGCACCTCTGCTTTCCCGGGCATTCCCAGTCAGTACGACACTCTGGCTTCTGAACCTTAAGGCACTGCTGGGCAGTCTTTTTAGCAGGGCAGGTTCCAATTTTGATAGCATCTAAAGAGAAGACCAAGATGTTAGAAAGGTATGGACTATCATCACTCCTAGACAAAGGTCCACATCTCAGAATATAGACCCTCATTCCAGCGGCCCACAACTACAAAGAGAAATACTTGGATGACCTAAGGGGGAAAATACAGACTTGATTAAACAAGACATGTGACCAGAAGAAAACATAGACTGGGGAAAAAAGGCACAGGGTTCCCAGCCAAGGCTCTCTACCCCAGGGCTAAGCAAGATCTCACAAAAACACAAGGGGAGAGTAGGAATAATGGAGACCAAGAGAAATACATAGGAAGGGAATGATTATGTGAGATCCTGAGAACTGAAGCCAGAGGCAGAAACAGGAAGGCTAAAGGGGAAACACAGAACTGTGTGGGACCTGAGCTGACAGGATGGCTGCATAACAAGAAGAGAGTCTCTACACGCCTTGAAGCCTCACAGAGACCTCAGACCCCAGCGAGACACTGTTGTCTCCCTGAGGTCCAGAGTAATCTGAGAAACAGCCTGCAAAAGGGGAACAGACCCCAAACCATCAGGAGCCCCCACCTGGTACTCCAGCCAGTGCTGGCCCAAAGCAACTCCAACTCACCGTTTTTGCCTCCTTCTACAGTCCAGGGTGCCAGGGTCCCCAGAGCAAGGAGCACCATGAGAGGGAAGAGGCCGCTGGACTTCATGGTGAAGGCAGGCTAGCTCTGATGACCAGTCTCAAGAAATCACTATTTATATCTTTACCAGTAGGCGTGGCCCCAGTGGAATGTATTTGGCCCCTCCCAGGCGCTATTGCATAGGCAGGAAGCGTAGTCACAGGACAGAAGTCTTGATGCTACAGAAGTAGGTGGTGGACTTTCTGTTCCAGGCAGGACCATGAGGCCATCAGAGTAACCACCTGAGAGCTAAAAATGAAAGAAGCTGGTTTGGAAGTTATCACAGAGGGACATTCCAGGTGACCACCTGAGCCCTGAGCATTGTGAAGTCCCCAAGCCTATTGCCCTTACTAGTAGAGACGAGCAGAAAGGGCCAGTCACAAAAGGGTCACCCCAACCTGAAGCTAAGACATCAGACGTGGACTCTTGGCTGAAAGTCTGCCATACACCTCTATTTTTTTTTTTTTTTGCATGTTCCTGGACTTTCTGGGATTTTGAAACTGTAACCTATTGCTCAATACAAATTCCTTCTCGAGATGGAGATGACGCAACGGCTCAACCAACTAATGTTTATTTCTGCCAAATCATCTGTACCGCTGTGTGCCCGGTGCCCATTCCACGACTGGAATGTGGAGAGCAGCCCCTAAAGAAACGAAAGTTACATGCAGAAGGGCCTTCAGCAAACCTTGTTGGAGCCCAGACTCTTAGGGATGAAATGACTTGGGGCTGGTCCTGAGATTGAAGGCTTGAAATGTCCCTTTAAGTAATGAATGAATTTCATCAATTGCTAATGGAGTATATTGGAGTGTATTGGAGTAAAGAGACAGAGCCTCTCACTCATTGCTGCAATCAGCATTGAGCTGTGGTGTCGTTTGAGTTGTTAAGGGAATTAATTCTTCCTACCCCTAAATCCTCCACAGGCTTCAGATGTCAGCCAAAAACTATGGCTGCCACGCATTCCACCCACTGTGGGTGCTCCCTGGTGTGTACAGACTGCTTCCAATGATTAGGAGAGACATCGTTCTCTCTAGACTTCAATCCAAAATTCTCTTCCCGAGAAGCCTGAGCCTTACCTCAGCATCACGGGACAATCTCTGTAGAGTTCGTATTTGTGGATTTGTATCATTTATCTCCTTCATCTACCCCCTCCAGTGTCACCCTCCCACCCACCTCTCTCTCAAGTTCTTGGCCCCTCTTTCTTTAATGTATACTGTTCTGTGTGTATATGAATAGATGTATACATACCTACTGAATCCAGTTAGTGCTGTTCATGTGTATATGTCTTCTAGGGCTGACCACTTGACATTGGATAGCCAACTGGGCTCATTCATGGGGAAGACCCCTCGCTTGGCAATCGTTAAGTACCTGTATGTTATCATCTAGGGGTGAGGCCCCATGAGACTCTCTGCTTCCACCATGGCACGTCAACTGGCATTTCCATTGTTCAGGTCTTATTTAGGCAGCCATGATGTTGAGATGTCATGGTCCTTGTAATTTCCCATTTTTCCCCCCAAAGAAAATGTGTAGACATTAAAACAGACACAAAAAGACTAAGCGTTAAATGCAGGGCTCTACAAGGTATTCTCTGAGGCAGGAGCCAGATGTTACCAGAGCCTTTTGTGCAGAAATTATTCTGTGCCTTAAATTTTGGTGCCAAAGAAAAGGAAAGAAAAACCAGTGCGCACTGAGTAAGGACAGTTGGTGACGTGAACTGGCTGCTAACTAGCTAACTTGTAGAGATTGTAAGAGACAAACGGAAAGTCTGCCTCCCCCTGCCACCCCCCAGCACCCCGTGGGCAAACTTACTGGCTGGTTAGGGGTTTGTTCTCACTTCCTCCCACACAGCTCCAGTCCTTCCCATTCTGTGTTCCTTCCTATCTTCCTTGGTGCCAAGAATTTTCTAAATATTTGTTTCTTAACGAGTCAAGATGAGAATTCCACACCTAGATGTTTCTGTTTGTGATTAATGGTTGGTTGAGTGACTATTTGAAAACAGCTCTTTTCATCAGAAAGAACCCTGTAACCAATCAACAATATTTCTTACGAATAGAGCGAGCAGGGTAATGATGCATGGCGAGTCCCTGCTCTCAACACCATGGATTCTAGATCTTTAAATCATACCGTGTTAAGGTTAAAGGGAGCCTCTGAAGGTATCTGGACCAAGGAGTGTAACTACAGTCCTGGAGCCAAGTCGAGAAGTCCAGAAGGCTGTGGGGTTTTGTTTGTTTGCTTGTTTGTTTAGATGTATTTCTTTTAATGTGTATGAGTATTTTGCCTGTATGTATGTCTGTACATGGCTTGTGTGCCTGGTACCCAAGGAGGCCAGAAGAGGGCAGCAGATTTCCTAGAACTGGAGTTTCCAGTTAAGAGCCACTGTGTGAGTAATGAGACATAAACTCAGGTCCTCTGGAAGAACAACAACCAGTATAGGCTTTTTTCTTTTCATATATATATATATGAGATTATTGGAATATTTATATTGTCTATTCATCCACTGCAATGATAGTGTGAAGTAGTTGCAACAGAACATGAAACATTCACTACAAAATCTAAAATACCTAATGTATGGTACTTCACAGAAATGTTTTCTAGCCTCTGACTCAGGTCAAACTCTCAGCTTGTAGTAAAAGAAATCAGAGAAGGTATAAACCACAACTTACATAATGAGTTAATTATAGAACTTAAGACAGCTTTTCTAAAGCAATCGAGTCATCCCCAGAACCTGTTTCACTACAGGTTCATATCATACTCACAATCCTATCCTAACCTACAAGTGAGTCACCACGTTGACTTCCACACTCTCTTGGCATCTGTTAAACTCCATAGATCTATCCCTTCGTTTGTACAAAACTTACTTAACAATTGCTTACCACACGCCAGGTGCTGTTCTAGGTCCTGAGGTTACGTTAGACAAGACACACTGGGCAGTACCACATAGTCATCGAGAGCCTGAACTTTTGAGTCAGACGTACCTGACGTATAAACTGATCGGATCTCTTTTGGCTCCTGTTACTCAGCTGTAATTGGGAACGTTGCTTTCTCCTGTGTGGGAGAGACGTGGTGAGGAGCTGAAAATGCACAGCAGGAGACATTGCTCTACAGTTGAGGGTCTGCGGACATTAGGCACACAGGAAGCTATTGGTTTCTGAAGAGAGACTCAGGTGTGGACTTTGAGGCTGTAGTCCATCTTGCTCTGACCATTAGATGCTTGACAAAATCTGGTTCTATCAGTGCTCTGGTTCTGTCTCTCTAGAGAACTCTGACTGTAATAACCTTTATGGCCCAATAGTTTCTAGTAGCATTTAATAAACACACACACACACACACACACACACACACATATTTCCTCATGAGGCACATTATCCTTTGGAACTCAGAACACTGACTTCAAAAGAATATTTCTGGGATCAACCATTTGTATCTTCCTCATGATCTATCAATGCCATGGCAGGAAGAGGAACCCAGCAGCAGGTGTACCTAGGTCAAAGGAGTCCATCCCAAGGCTTTCACTCTTCTGAAAGTGTTCACGTACCTTTGGGGGAGCAACACTACACGTGCCTTTGAAGCTCCACAGTAGGGCCGGCTCTGGTGACACAGTCTGCAAGCCCAGCACTCAGGAAGGGAGATGGTGAGCCTGAGTCAGCCTGGGTTCTATAACAAGACTCTGTATCCAAGAAAATAAATAATCCAAGAGGCTCATACCTGTAATCTCAACACGTGGGAGGCTGAGGCAGGAGGGTTACCACAAATTGGCCAGTTACAAGCTGAATAGTAAGTTTTAGGTTAGGGCTACAGAGGGCTACTGAAACATTGTCTCAGTAAGTTAATAAGGCTAAATAGAAAACTAAAGGAAACTCGACACTTGGAGTGACATGTTTTTGACACACAGTGTCACATTTTCATTTTACATCAGGTGTTGCTGTTGCAAATTATTAAGCCAATGAAAGAGCTTAGCCATAAACTAAGAAAGCATTTCATTTATGTGTCAATGCTCATGCCTCAGCCACCACAGATCGAGACTGGCCCTGGCACAGCATCAATCAGAGATAAAACACCAGAGCACCAATGAAAGAAAACAGGGAAAATAAAAACTGGACAATTAACTACTAGGACAAACTAGAAGCGACTCAGAGAAGCGACTTCCCAGATCTCTAGGATCTACAGCTTGCCTAGATCTCAGAACGATGTTTGTCAATGACTAGGGGCAGGTGTGCTTGTGCTCCTCTGTGATTTTAAAACAAAAGGTGACGATTAGAAAGGCCTGTGGTTTGAAGTGCTGAGGTGGTTAGGAAACCCTGGGTAGGAGGTAGACGTAGCCACGGCCCCACTGCAAGAAACTTGATGAAGGGGCAACCACCCAGGGTGCCAGCACCAGCGCCAGCAATGGAGATCCAGTGTAGTGGAATAATGCCCCACTGAAGAGCAACTCCCTGATCTCAAGCAAGTCTCAGGAGCAGGCTCTGCTCCAAAGACACAGGCTCTGCTTGAGTTCAGACACTGAAAGGAAATATAAAGTTTTGAGGAACTGGATGTAAGTAGTTCTCTCCGTTAAATTCAGATAAAGGACCTTATCTTTACAGATGGGGTTACACCTAGAAATTGAACCACTTCCATTGTGCCCGGTGTGAACTGTATCATGTGAACAGAAAAAACGCAACGAAAACTCTTATTCTCCAAAGGGAAATGTGAAAAAGCAATCCGAATAGTGTCCCCAACCCTTGGAACACATTTTATTCTATTAAGTCAGGGATGAGCACTCCCTCTCTGGTGACAAAGACACTTCCTGGTCATGGCAATCTGGAAAGTCCAGTTCTGCTCTCAGAAGCCTCTCCCTTGCCTACTACCACCTTCTATGGTCACATCTCCGAATAGAGCAATGCACCTTTGTTGAGAGAGGCAGGCAATAGTGCATCTTCTCAGGAACTGGCTTCACACGGATGAGTAGGATCTAGTAAATGCTGTGAGCAATCCTTAGCGGCTCTCGGTGAAGCTTGAATTGCTCGTTTTAGTTGGATCCTGGTCAATTTAATTCAAGTAAAGCATGAGCTAGCAGCCACATTCTGAAATTGCCCTAAGTCAGGTTTCTGTGTTTTATTCTCTTTGAGTGTGAATGTGCACTTTTAACCTGGAGATGTGTATCTCCCCTTATCTCTTGGAAATTGCTTCTCAGTGGTTTTCTCTGTTCTTAGATTCCAGTGGCTACATATTAACTTTTCTATTTCTGTAATCATTGTAAGATTTTTT